CACACACACACACAGACACACACACACACACACACAGACAGACACACACACACACACACACACAGACAGACACACACACACGTGGAGTGGAGATGGCGGAGCTGAGACAGGGGCCTTGTGACAGTGCAGGCTGGGTCCTCCGAGTGATCATTAAGGTGCCCTCAGATGTGCCTGTGGAGAGGGCGGGGGGAGCGAAAGGGGCGTGAACTGTGAGTAAGTGAAGAGAACGGCGGAATGCACTCACCACTGCTGCACTTCCTTCTCCGTAACTGTGGGGATGAAGGAGAAAAGGCCAGTCAGTCAGCGAAACTTCATCAAAGCCTGCTGCTAACATTCAGCTTTCCAAACCATCCCTGCCTGCCCCTCGAAGAGACACCCCACCCCCCGCTAAGCCAATTGCGTTACTCCACCATGGCGCTTCTGGTCACCATAGCATCCATCCATAATTTGGATGCATAAAAAAACATTAACTCCTTCCTAAAAGAAGCATGCAGAGGGGTAGTGACCCTGTGCTGCAGAGCATGTGGAGAAGCTGTCCAATCAGAGTCAAGCACGAACCGGAAGCACCTTCTCCTTTGAGCTCAGTACTACGCTGTACTACAGCTTAATTCACTAAATAAACTGTTTTGCCACCTGCTGGCCAAGCCTGCTAGTGCAGCCCTGTAAGATAACCTGATGGCTTAGTGGGCAGCATCATAGCCTGACGCCTCTGGTCTGGGGGGTTGGTGCCCCCCCCCTTCATGTGTGTGTGGAGGTGCCCTCCCTCTGATGTACCCCCTAGGCTACTGCAATTTCCTGCTGCAGTCCAATCCCATACCCCACCCCCATAAACACTTACCTCATTGACCCCCCCAACAGCCCAAACCCACAATCATTTCATATGTGATTTTCTGAAATGACCATTTAAACGGAGACTTCACAAGCTTCGCTTACTTCCACCACTTCTTTACATTCTATTTCTGTATCCCAGACCTAGATAGAGGCCACCCATAAATACATCACAAAACGGGGGCAAAGCGAGCGCTCGGCTGGCTAGCAGCAACCCCAGTGAAGCCTTTATAGGCTGAACACTCGAAACAAGCATGCTAATTGGCTCTCAGCGGCGCCCTCTAATGGACAGGGGAAATCTTGCCCTAGGAGGGCTGTGGGGTCTGAGGCTTTTTCACTAAACCCCACTAGTCTATTTATTAATTAAAAAGCCCTTGGGATGGTAAGTCATGTCACCTGGCTTTTGGGAGTATGAATAATTTAGGTCGGGCCACATTCCAGTCGGCGTGCTTATCGGCAGGAGACAGGTGGTAAACCTGCATATACTGTGACCCCTAGAGGGCGTTACAGTACACCGCCAAGTGTCGGACACGTGGCAGGCACATGGGCCAATGGGAAGCCGGCGGGGAAGAGCACAGATGCATGGAGCAGTATCGTCAAGCACCACTTACGAGCTGGAGCTGCCCCTGGTCATGTGATCTGGCTGAGTGGTTTCGGGGGAGGGATTTCTGCCCTACGTTGTCCCAGGGATCGTTAAAGGGTTTAAGGGGGATCCGTTCCCAAGGCACAGTGCTCCCTTTGTGTGCCTCCATTTCCGTACCTCCTCCCAGCAGGAAAGACGGCGCTTTACTAAATCCGCTCCATCCTTACATGTAACATAACAGACACTGGGGTGTGTGGAGCGGGTCAGAAGAATGGCTGTAAGGGGGGGGGCAACCATAGGGGCCCAAGTTCAGAGAAACGGCCCCTCGTAGATACGAGTGGGACCGATAAGCCCCAAAACATCTGTATATGACTAAAGGGGTCACTGTAATAAGCGGGGAAATGGCTGTTCCACATCTAGGCTGGTCTGGAAACCATGGTGATGCACCAGTGTGACTGTACTGTGTCAGCCCTCTTTGTAGGGGCAAGACAGAGGAGGAGGGAGCGGAGAGCGAGAGACAGAAAAGGATGAACTGCAATCACGCTGAAGAGGGAGAGGTGGGCGTGGGGGGCGGGGGGGGCAGGCGGACAGCCCAGGAGAGGGGGGGGGGGGGGGGGTGCCTTTTCAGTTACGGGTGACCCTAATTACACACCAGCCTGTTCTCTTCCTCAGAAGCAGGGAGAGAGAAGAAAAGGAAACTGCCGGGGAATGGAGGCAGGGGCGGAGTGAGCAGGGGGGCGGGGAGGCATGGGTGGGGCCCGTGCAAATGGGGAGACAGCGGCACAAAGGCTGACACGCGCCCACACACCTGCAGACGCACACACACACCAACAGGTACAGCAACCTGGACAATGGCGGGACACTAAAGAACCCATTAAGTTCTACACCACGGACATTTGCAGTGCCCATTTATTACTGACAGTAACCTCAGTCTGTGGTATGACTGACCCTACAGTAAAAGGACCTAGACCGTATTGTGTGACACAATGAAGAATAACCTGAAGGGACAGGCTTCTGAAGCCTGTCTTTGTGAGTGGTCCGCTACCTTAACAACGAGGACAAGGAGTCCTGTTTGTTTGCCGACGGCTTATTGGCCCATTTGATTATCGGCCCACGCAAAAAAGCAGGTCACGACATTGTGCTCAGCTGTTAGCTAACCAACTGTGGGGGGGGGGGGTCACCACAGACCCCAGGAGGGCACCTGCTGTTGTACCGTAGGAATGGCCTCCAGGCATAAGTCATCCGAGTCACATCGGATGGAAGCTAGCTTATGGGAAACAGGATCCGGCCCATGATGAAGTCAGTCGGGCCGACCTGAAGGCAACAGTAAACAGAGCCTTTGTTCCTCGGGAAGGTAGAAAGGGAAACTGACCAGTGCTCATGGTGTAAAACATCCACAGAGAGGTTAAATTAAATAGCAAAACAGAACCTGAAAAGACACGCGGATGGGATTCGCAAAGCATCGAGGTCTTTAGGGAAATTACACACATACTCGTGTCTGTCCATGAGTGCACTACTACAGTTAAAGCTCTCGAATTAATTACTCATTAGCCCGACAAAAAAATAATTCATTAAAAGGCAGTTCCATGCAAAGGTCCATCCATAATGCTAAAAAAGTGTTATGAATTTTCATTTGTCAAGATTCAGCCTAAGAGGTTACAGAAAAAGATCTGTAAATTGATTTGTCGATACTAAGCTCATCCATGCTCTGAGACATTTTGTTTGGCCAATATGAGACTAAATGTCACATCCATCAAGTTTGAATTGCATTAAAATAGTAATTTAGAATAGAATTTAAAAAAGGTTCCTGCTTAGTCTTCCATACATAGATATTTTTCACAGTGTATATTTTTGCATCCTGGCTGAGCCCCAGAAATGGCACAGTCAATATACGTCAGGGACAGGAGTCTGCATTCTATCAGAATGTGCTCCACCCCCCCTGTGCATTCCTGCTCCTGATCCAAGAGGCTGAGTCCATGAGACAATAAGTAAACTCTGGAGATCCACGCTGACCCTGTGCAGCAGAGTTATGGTTGAGGAGCGAGAGAGAGAGAGCTGCTACTCACAGTAGGTCTTGCTGGTCAGTTCCTCCACCACCTCTGGCTTCAGCTTGCTGTTGGACTTCCCCATGGCCGAAGCTGGGGGAACACCTTGCCCCCACCCCTCCCCTCCCGTTCCTGAGTCTGGAAGACGCGGTGGTGTCGTTGAGCTAAGAGCAGCCCCCTCTCACGAAAGCTGGCTGGGGCGGCTGGCAGCAGGTAATCCGCTCAACCATGTCGCGTTTCTGCTCCCATGTCGACCTCCGCTTTGTGTCAGCTCCACCCCGCAGGGGGGCTGTGTCCACGGGGGGCAGAGGCTGGGGGGCTCTCTTCAAGAATCGCCTACTGGGAATCTACCACCTGGAGCGCCCCCCACCCACTGAGATCCAACGCCTCGTTTCAGGAGCAAGTCCCCAGGAGATAAGCCCGCTTAGCAGCTCGGAGATGCGAACTCAGTGCCGCTGTCTTCAGACTGTAGGATCTGAGAGAGCGAGAGGGAGAGGCAGGCGGACTCCCAGCCTGTGTGTGTGTGTGTGTGTGTGTGTGTGTGTGTGTGGCGTGTTGATAGCGTTGTCCGTGGTAACAAGTCACCAACTCTTAGCTGCCTGCTCCCACTCAACCCCACCCCCTCCAAACAAGCCTATATCATTTTAAACCATTCATACAGTATTTCCTTCCCTAAATTCTGCTTAATTATACAGAAAAATAAGAAAAGAATCTTTTAATAGAATGTATCACTGTGTATAGGTGAAAATGAAGTACAAGGTGTGTATTAAAACGCATAATATATTTAATATACCAAGTAAATGAAATCTATTGTGTCACATTCAATTCTGGAACATTCAGCATGCTGCCTTGCGACATATGTTAACGTCAGACAGTAATGTCTGGGAACGGGAGTACCTCTGAGCCCCATCCTCCTTAACCCCCCCCCCTTCCCAAAGTAATCATATTCTGGCTGGGGTTTCACATAGAAGGAAATCAGACCCCCATACCTGAGTGAACAGTGAGCTCATTCTGGCCTCTTTCATCAGTGGTTGCTGCACAGTCCCACTGTCTCAGTATCTCCCAAGTTTCCCAAAAGAAAATAGCAGAAAATACAAACAACACTGTCCTTCAAAAGAGCCGCACTCACAAAAATCTGTTGAGATCCACTTCCTCTGTCCCTCACTGTTCTAACCGCACTGGTCTCGTTTTAATGAGGTTACCTCATTTTTATTTGATCTACTAGAGCCGACTATCGATTTTGAGACTTTCCCTCCGCTCACATGTACATCAGTTCAATATTGTATTTTCATGACTTCATTAAGGAAAATCTGCTAGATGGTAGAAAGAGCAAAAAATATATCAGTTCAAGCTTTAATTAACAGCAAGTGGGCTATAAAAAAAATCTTCTGAAAGTGATGTGGGTAATTGCATATTCATGGATCTATAAATAAAAAGAAAATATGAACTCTGGTTTAAATATGTACACAGTACATCTCAGGCAGTTTATTAGAGTCGCTGTGGAGAAACAGTCTCAAGAGCTTGGATTGTTGACTCAAATTTGGAGGAACTTCCTTATTTGAGACACGGCAATGCAAGCATTTGTCGAAAATAGTCCAAATCCACACGAGCATGCAGGCAGCATCTGGCATCTCAGCTGGAGGCGTCCAGTGAAGCTTGGACAGCAGAGATGAGAACTTTAAGCTCGCACCGGAGTCCACAGCTTGGGCTGCTGTTTGCTTTTAAGCGACAGCACTCGTGATGCTGATACCAGAGGACCAGCGCTACAACTGATGGTGATGAGCAGAGCAGGGTGATGTGAACAATATATCAACTTATCGACTTCTAAAGCAGTGCTTCTCAGTCTTTTTCATCCAAGAAACCCCCAGTGTCCAGAACATGTTTGCCCGCCCTACACAGGCTGTGACATCATTACTCTTGTATGCATTCTGCAAAGATGACAACAATTGCCTTTGTTTATTAACATAAACATTTTAATTTGGTCACACTGCCAAACAATGTAATTTCTCTTGACTCAGGCAATCTGGTTGCTTTCCACTATGTCCACCAACACCGTTTGTTTCTCATTTTATAATATTATTCTCAAAACAGAAGGAGAATGTTTATGAACAAAAAATGAAATGTAATCTTTGGCAAATGGCTCTAAAATCCAGGTATATATCGCTGCAGCTGGGAGCCGAGTGTCGAGTAGGAGGGGTTTATCACAAGGGTTAGGGTATCAAATGATAACAGGCCCCTCGTTTGAGACCCCTCCCACATTGCTGCAGATGTATACCTCACTGAATGGTTTGATTTTAGCTGAGAATTCTGGGATTCTGTGTAACCTCACGACAGCTTACAACCAGGAAAGAATACTATTGGTTTTTAATAAAAATGTTTAATAAGGTCTTAATTATAACACACAATTAGAGTATATGGCTATAAACGGTATTGCATTATGTTGTATCTTGTTTAAAAAAAAAAAAATTGATACACCATAAACAGTCTATACCACTCAGTACTAGGTTGAGCCATGTCGCATTTTTTTCTACGCATTTCAAATAAATTGTGCAAACAGGGTGGCCAACTTTGGTCAGCTGGTTGGAGTGAGATTTTCAATTAGAGACAAGTCTGCACACGCATTTACATGTATGTGACAGTTTACCTTGTAAATAGTCTGTAGGGTTCGCAAACTACCCCAAAGCTTTTGATGTTGCTAATTTTAGGTATATAATGAAAATAATATACATTTGCTGTAGACTTCATGCGTGAGTCTGAAAGCCTCAGTGTCATGCCAGATGCATGACAGGTGGCCAGCCCTGCAGCCGTATCTTTAAAAAGGAGGTATTGTAGATAAACAGGGTGAAAAAGACGTCAGTGGTGTGGCGGCATTTTGGCAATTAAAAATGCGACATGCAGCACACTGGTGCAGTGTACTGTAAACTGCCAAAAACGTGTGCCAACTAAAACTGGAAACACTGCGCTACCATCCAGTGGGAAACAGAATGCACATGGGTACAGTCATTAAAGTTTGCAGTCCATTCAATTTGTGATAATTTTTCATGTTCTGAATCAGCTTACAGGGAATCCTAAAGGAATTTTAAGCAAAAATGGAGCCTTAAAGAAATAATTACTTAAATTACTATATATCGCAATAATTATCAAGATTGACTGATATAAAACAAATTATTTTGCCATATGGCCCAGCCCTAATTTATACCAATGGATACCTTTACTTAAGCAATTCCAGTTATGTCTCAAGGTTTGTGACTTGATAACAAACCATCAACAATCCAACACACACCAACAACGACCACAATTCCCGCGCAATTAGCTCAGGAACCACGCAGGAAGAATACTAATGGGATACATTAGCTGATGGCCACTAAATGCTCCAAGCAGAGGGCTGGATTGTGTTCTCCAGAGCATCTTAAAGGCCAGCGATGGGGAGGAGGACAGGGAGAGAGCTCCAGGCACACAAACTGCTGATGCCATCTCTTTCCACCTGGTGAGACGGACTGGAGGACGACCGCCCAGCGCAGAAGAACACGTCCACTTGAACCAAGCGCTAAATAATACTGGTATCAATAGAGAGTGAGTATCTTCTCCTAACTGGGTCAAGGAACATGAAAGGTACGTAACCAAGAACAAACCATAGCATTCCTTACACTGGTCCATCCTCACAAACCTCCCAAGAGACACTCGCCATCCTGGTTTCCTTTCCACCACCATGTGGGAACCAGCAGAACTTCTTTGACTGGACCTGGAGCTCACAACACAAACCACAAGCTCTTCAAGTATTTATAATAGTATTCATTTAAAGGGAAGAGTGTATTAACTACTGTGTTGTATCCTAATATTACACATACATATATATTTTATTTTTCCACACTGAAAACCTTTGCAAAATTTCGGCCTAATGATGAATCCGAGTTTGAGGGTTTACATAAGAACATTTTAATAACAGGAAAACATAGGGGAGGGAATATTCAAGTCTAGGGGAGTTTTACCTACTCTGGAGTCGGAGACAAAAGCAATGAATCGATTATACCCTGACAAGGAAAAAGTACTGCTCCATACTTCAGAGACATACGGCATCCTCTGCTTTGGATCTGTGAGGAGAGGGATTCATACTGCAAGACATCGAGCCCAAACATAAGAGCTTTGCAAGAACTTAAAAACAGCAATAAATATGGACTTTCATGGACTTCCTTCCTCAGTCTCCCCACCGCACTTGAAGACCAAGGAAGACCAGCAGCCAATTAGATCACAAGATGACCTTTGTCTGGATAACATAGACCATCAGGTTTTGCACAGACTATCAGCTGCAAGTTTTCACTCAAATTGTTATCCTTTGAAAATTAGCAATTTCACATTAAATTGCAAAATGGAAACATTTGCATTAGTAGTCTCACACTTTTGGAATCCATCTTGAGTGTAATTTATATCTTTATAGGATATCTGTTCTGTTTCACTTTATTAATTTCTTAAATATAATTAGAATATACATGATATACATTCCATAAAATTCCCCACTTTTAATATCATTTGACAGATGATTAGACTGTCATTTATTATGGGTGCAAAATAAAGTGAATGATTTAAGAACATAAAGATCTGAAGTTTGCCCAGACAGACAGACAGAACACGCTTATTATTTACAAATATGAAACAGAAAAGAATCCAAATCCAAAATGAAAAATAACAACAACCAAGAAGCGGAAAGAACACCCTTGTACATCTCAAACTGCACACCCAGGATTGCCGCAGGGGAAGTAAGCATCGTTCCCCATGACAGATCTGTCTGGTAGGAACTTGTACCTTGGACAGAATCCTGATGGCAAGAAAACCATAACCCGAGTCTCCATTTTCACAGCAAGACAAAATCCACCTGTGTGGATTTGTATGTTACTTCCCAAATGGTTTCAAACATGCTACTCATGTTTACGTTACAAAATAGCTAAATTGATGCACCCTCCTTCAGTCCCGACAGGGAAGCATACAGAAGCAGGACAGTGTTACACCCTGAAAGCGGCATCGCAGGTGGCAAGGCGGCTGCAGGTAAGGGTTAAGTATCGCTAAGTATCTCAACATTTTCAATAAATATTTATGGGGGGTGTAAATAGGTGAACATCTGTTATGGCCCAATCCACTGACTTTGTACCCTGACTGCCATGTGGGAGTACCCAACAGCCAGAAGTAACCCACAACGTGAGAAGAGCCCTTGTTTGTGCATCTTATAAATCACATTAATAATATTCTCTATCATATTAAACACAATAAATAATAATAAAAAAAAAAAAAACAAGACCGCCACCACAAAAATCAAAATAAATACTAACAATTCAATGAGTTTTCCTTGACGGCCCGTACAATGAGGGAGAGGAAGAAGTGTTGGTACATCAGAGCACCAAAATGTGGGCGTACTTGTGCAAGAGCGTGTGTGAGTGGCTCTGTTGATGTGGCTGTTCGACAGCAGTTGTCCTTCACAATAAAAAAAAAAAAATATCCAAGCCAAGTATAGACAAGTCCCAAAGGATCCTGAAGCCTTGGGGCCAGTTCAGAACTGCAGCCACAAGGTCCAGATAAAGAGGGGGGGGGGGGGGGGGGGTGTTTACGTCTGCCAACCGCCACCCACATTGTGAAGATCTTCTCAATCAAGCCATGCTCTCTTTCTCCTCTGAAGGCCCATTGAAGACCTTCTTCACCTTCTTCACACCCTCCGTCATACCCGTCGTCGATGTGGTGACCCTGGAGCGGATGAGGGACAGGAACGTCAGTGTGAACGGGATCTGACCTCACTGAGACCAGACACTCGTACCCAACCCAAGAAAACCTCTACAACAAAGCAGTGAATCAATGTATTATTCATCTGCATTTTCACTAATCAAGGTCCGTGCTGACAGAGATGCCTGCTGAAGTCATACCTCCGCAGATGGCTGGAAAAGCAGAAGCAGGAAGAAGCGGTTAATCAGTGGAGAAGGTGCCAGCGAAGGAGCGACCTGGCATCGCTTCTTCACGTTAGGCTGCCAGAAACCGGACTCACATCTGCTGCTCGCAGCGCGGCACACTGAGGGTCAGCAGCTGGAGAGCAGAGGTGATCTCCACCAGCCAAAAGCCTCACCTAACCCTGTCACACACACACACACACTCACACTCACACTCACACTCCATGTCTGCCTCTGTATCACCCAGACCCAACAACCAAGGATAGACCCAAAGAGTCGAGATTCACACATCCATATCCATCAGCTAACTTCATTCCTAATAATTGACTGCTTTTGTGTCGATCCAAGACTGCGACGTCACACCCCAAAACAGAGGAAGATGCACCACAGGGGAGGTGTACGGCCCTGCAGGTTAGGGAACGGCGCCTGTGATGGGAAGGTCGCCAGTTTGAATCCCAGGCTCGGCAAAGTGCTCTCACTGTGGTGGCCCTGGGCAAGGCCTCTAAGCCCCAACTGCCCCAGGGACTGTCTGATCCTGCTTTCAAGTGTATGTATCTCCACACACCGAGCAGCTTTGGATGAGCCTGCAGTGAGGTGACTGGTCATCATCCTCCTCCTCCGACACATGCCCAAAGCAGGAAGCTCCAGCACCAAGCTGGGTCGCTGCTCAGCCCAGTGGGGAACCGCAGGGGCAGGTCGGCCCGCAGAGCAGCTCTCAGCTGCAGTCCGGCAGCTCAAGGTCGCCGCTCCTCCCCAGGATGGGAAAAAAATATCACAGCATGCCCCCTCCCCCACCGAAGGCTGCTGTCATGGAGCAGGTGTTAAAAGCACTGTCCAGGTCCCCCGCACGGGCTGAAATGTGGGTCGGGGCACCATATGGCACATGTATAGAGCAGGGGGGGGGCTCATTTCACATCATTTAATTTATATTTTATATATATATATAAAAATATAAAAACGAAAAGAGATACAAGTTCTTGAGAATCTAAAGAGGTCAGTACACAGTCCACTGAAGGAAACACAGGGGCTTTTTAATAAGTAAAATGTTATTCCCACAAGAATGAAGAGCGAGGGGGGGGGGGGGGATTGTCTATAATTTATTGCATGATTCTCAGTCCATGCACCAGCCTGCTTTTATTCCTCAGTGTCTAACTCTGAGTCTATCATTTTCAGATGGCGTGAATAGAGTCAATGAGGAGTTGAAATTTAAAGATGTTGACTTATCATAAGCCTGCCCATCCATCCATCCATCCATCCATCCATCCATCCATCCAATTCACCTAAATGTGTTTTTGAACTGTCAGAGGAAACACGAGAGGAAACTCCCAAGCCTCCCTCACCATTAGACACCAGAAACGATGAGTACTGCTGCACTGGAGTGAAGCAACGCCTGGCCTCACAGGCCTGACCTGGGTGTATCAGCACAAGCAATATAGCTGCTGAAGCTACTATCGCTGGTCACTGGAGTGGATCAGAACACACACCATGGAGGCCAGAGCAGGCCGCACAGGTCTGCCTCAAAACAGGCGGGTACGAGACTTCTGACCAGTTACACAAGTGAATGCTAACTCCACTAACATTTGATTCTAACATAACACAGCGATTCTCACAGACATGCTAGCAGAAATTTGCACATAGTAATCATGACAGGTCACTGTCGCTTTCCAAGCCAAGCGACGCCTTTACCAAGCCGACCCTTCCACAGGGGGAAATCGAAGGGAGCTGGAACTGCACTGTAACTTGTGTGTCTTCGCGGCACAGGTCAGGTACAGGTCAGATACAGGTCAGGTACAGGTCAGGTACACCAATGGAAAAGCACCAGTAGATATTCACTTTGCACACAGATACCACAACCAAATATTTGGGAGGTATGTGTGGCTCAGAGGGTTAGAACGCTGTGCTTGTTATCAGAAGGTTTCCAGTTCAAATCCTGTGGTCAGCAGACTAATTTCACCACTGGGCCTGTGGTCTCACAACCCCCAGTTGTTTCCAGGTCTGGCTGACCTTGCTTTCTTAATTATGAACTGCTTTGGGTAGAAGCTTCTGCTAAAAGGAAATGTAAATAAGGGAGAACAATCTCGAGAACAGGTCAGAGTTTAACGTCAGAGGAAGCAATTCCAGCATTACAAACGTAACCAAACACAAAACATTACATATCGGGTCATAACTCATGAAAAAGCAGCAGATTCACTGGATAATGGACTTCCACCCGGTGGAAAAATAAGAGAAATGCGTGGTAAGAGGAGAGAGGAAAAGGACAATCAGAGCTCCAGGTTGAAGTTATTTATGGAATCATTCAGCCTGGAGATGAAACGGGCCAAGACTGCAGGGGTGTGGAACAGTCTGCAAGGTAGGCAGGAGGGATGGCACCATACAGGAGGACGCAAGCAGGGAGACAGATGAGCGACAAAGGAAAGGGTGGGAAGATGGGGGGGAATGGAACTCTAAAGCTTACACATCCTCCATCTTCATGTCCTCATCCTCCTCCATTGAGAGGAGCAGGTAGGGGTTGTGGGACGCAGGCCGGAATTTGTGCCCCGTGAAGAAGAAGAAAACCAGCGTGGCCAATTCATCCAGGAGCTGGGAACAAGAGGGCAGAAAGAGAAGTTTGGGAGACATGGGGCAGGGTCAGGTGAGGGCTGCAAGGATCCTGATTGGCCGCTACACAGCGAGAGTGAGCATAGGCTTCATGGCATGGACTCAGCATTACCGTTCAGAGGAGTGGAAATCACATCTGCCATTTGTTATTAAAAACAAACTATTTTTAAAATGGCCTGATTTTTCACACATGCAGAAAGCAGAAAGAACTAGTCAGAAGCCATTTTAACCTGATAGTTATCAAACTCGCATGATGAAAGTCATATACAAAACCACGTTATGCTTGTTCACACGTGACAACAGCAATGGGAGCACAACCAGATTTTCTCTAAGACATTACAGAACAGTGACGGTCCCACCCCCCAGTCCCAGTCCCACTGCCCCTGCAGGCGAGCTCTGTCCCCAGGCTGCACTCACCTGGTACAGCCACTTCCACTGAAAGGGAACGATGAACTTGATGAGGATAGCGATTATGCGGGTGAAGTAGATGTAGCACACGATCTGAAGGAGGGAGACGACATTCTGATGAATCAGCAGCAAGGTAAATCGTGCCCTGGTTAGGACTGAGACAAAACCACGGCCTGCGTTCCACAAGCGAGAAACTTCAGATTTTTATGAGATTCTCACTCATGTCATTCAGCTAGAGACGCTGGAGCGACAGATAGCGGCTTCACTCCGAGTGTGCTACGCTAACACGCTAATGCAGAAAAACACTCAGTCAAAGGGTTAAAAATGGCTTTTCCCAGAGCTATTTTAAGATTTAATGACAGCTACAGCTGTAGCCAAATATGAGCTTGTCGCTGTTAGGGGCCATACAATTACCAGCATGGCTCCGGAGCACCGTGCTGGGTGTGGGCGTCAGAGGCAGCTGCGTAACGGAAGGCGG